GGGTCCTGGAAACTGAAGGGTCCTGAAGTGTCAGAAGGAAAGCCACAGTAGCTGAGGATACTCTGGCGGGGAGGATGACAGGAGCAGGAGCTGGAGAACCAGACCTAGGCTTGACTGTGGGAGACCAGGCTGAGGAGTCTGATTTACCGAAGTGTGTAGGAAAGCCACTGAGGGCAGAGTTATATGAGAGCCACTTGGATGCTGTTGAGGAGTGGCTTTGGGGAGGGGAGGAAGAAAAGCAGATTAATGAATTTTGGCAGCTATTGCTTTGGTCTAGGAGGGAGACGAGTGTGGCTCAGAACAGTGTGGTAGGAAGCTGGGGAGAGGTGGAAAATTAGGGTATGCAGTTGGTCTCTGGAAGGTCTTCCCAGTACCCCCCCGAAAGGATTCCAAAATCTGTGGATGCACGGTCCCTCATATAAAGTGGCATAATACTTGTATAATACGTGCATACATCTTCCCATATATTTTAAATCACCTTTATAATACTCAATATAATGTAAATGATATGTAAATAATTGTTATACTGTATTGTTTAGGGAATGATGAAAAGAAAAAAGTCCTTACATATGCGTTACAAATGGAAAAATTCCTTGTTTGAGTCTGTGGATGCAGAATCTGTGGATGCAGAATCTGTGGATGTGGAGGGCTGGCTTAAACTGTGTTAGAGTGGATGAGACTTTCTGCTAGAGTGGATGTGGTATTCGGGGAAAGCATGGAAGCGAGCAGAAAAGTAAGTTGTAGGTTGTAACAACAAAGTGAAGGATGATTTGTGAGAAGGATTAGAGACTGTCTGTAAATGTATGTTAATAGAGCATATGAGTTAATATTTATTTTAATAAAAATAATAATTAGTATATTATTTAGAAGTTCCTGATAGTAATGTCTCATAAATTTAAGAAAACTCGATGGACATTCTTTTACATTAGATTTATTTCTCCTGATGTGGAGACCAGTTAAAATAGAATCTAACTATGGTTAGCTTTAGCATTCAGTGACTCTTTGATTTCCTTGCTTTGTCTCAGACTGAATTCATACTTCTACATTAACCCAACAGCTCAGTGGAGAATTTGTCTAAATGATATGGATTAGTCACTTCAAACATTTCAGATATATTTACATTCCAAGATTTGTGCCTGTTTACATAAGATTCTGAAAATAGTTCATTGTGCAACCAAAGTAAAGGAGTTAGTTATGTTTGCTGCCTTACTGGAAGGATCTTAAGAAAAGGAGCAGAAATTGACATAAGCCACTGAAGAGACCTCAGAAAAAACTGTGAATGATCCCTTGGTGTGATACTTCCATTGGCTCTTCTGACCCCAACCCTGGACTCGGACTCTGTGGCTCACAGAAGTGGGAAAGTCACTGAGAATGGAGGTGTGGTTCCGAGGGATTCTGGATTGGGTTCTAAGCTTGTTTAAAAGGTTGACTTACTAATGCTATGGTGATTGATGTTTACTTCAATACATGACTCAGAAGGTTTGCCTGACAGCCCAGAAGGGCGAAGTCTTCTCTGTGGAGCACTTTCCAACTCCTAGGACAGCACCGGAAGTTTCTTGGGAACAGGTCAATGTATGTGCTTAGTATTGATTTTTTTTATGGAGTTAAGTATGTGTAATCAGCTATGCTCTTTTGATCTTTGGCTCTTTCGTTGAATTCTTAATTAAATTTGTAATATACATTAACAACAATGAAAGGGCAGACTTCCTGACGAGGTGAGTTATTATAGCACACTGGTTTGTGCTGCCAAGGAGGCATTATGATCCATTTTCCTGATGGTTTTGGCATGGCCCAGTCTTTCCAGGGCCTCAGAGAAAGGCAAGGCAATGTTGCACATGCTCTTGTACCTGGCTATTAACTAAGGTGTTTTGGTGGACATAGGGTAAAACGTGGAAGAGGACTATGAGCACATTGTGGGCAGGTGAGTAGGAAATCTTGTCTCAATTTCCTAGCCATAGTGGTTCCCTGAAGGAAATGTTTTGGTCCTGTAAGAGAATTACTCAGTTTTCAGTCTCAGAAAGATTTCTATCCATCATTTATTAATTTCTTTACAAGTGTTCCACATTACAAACTGTCTTTATTATTATTGTTTCTGTTCAATTACAGCATCATATGCCTTCAGTTTCTCTTCTTAGCCTAATTTCTGTGGAAACAAAATATAATTGAATGAATTTAAGCAAAGAATTTTTTTGTGAGATTCTGCATAATATTCATTTGGATATAGGAATAACCTTTTTTATGACTCCACTTACCTATTATGGAAGAAGCTATTATTTCTTCTTATTTTTGTAAATCCAGTGTCCCATTTCAGAGTCTCCTTTGTGTATGCAATGAGAGAGACAATCTTGGGAGACTCTGGGCTCTATCTTTCTGGCTTCTTTGCAGCTTTCATTCATATCTGATATTCTTATTCCTAGTAAAGATAGTGACTCACTGAGTTACAGAAAACTCAGAGTCCAAGATTGAAATCTTTCCTTTTCCAGAGCCAGTTAATCAGTCAACAGAGATCTCACCTTGGAGACAGAGGCATGCAGGCATGATGGTGCAGAAATAAATGACTGAGATTATCTGGAGACAGATGAGAAGAGATGGGTAATTTGAACATAATTGATATTTTCAGATTTAAAATTTTGAGATTTGGGATCAGTATTCCAAAATCTAGAATAAGGGACCAGGTAGGTCTCTGTGTACTTTATTAAGATCACTGGTCGAGTACTAACATGGGACATTGAGTGAGTGTGAGAGAGAGAGAACTGCACCAAAAAAAAAAAAAAAAAAGAAAAGAAAAAAAAAGAGAGAGAGAAAAAATGTCCCCAAAGAGTGAATATGATTGTAGTATTGAATTTTTATAAAACTGTGTATATATGCAGATGAGGCATGTTTTTAAAAAAATCAATGATTGTTAGAGCCAGAAATAAATGTAGGGATTCTCAAATATAGAGATTCTCTAAGTGTGGTGAGCCCTGGAATCTCCTGGAGTTTGTAAAAATCATGTAGATGCACAGATTCTACCCCAGTGGCCAACACCCCTGCCCCCTCCCACAACCTAGGGGATTCCAAAATATACAAAGACCCGAGAACACATATCTGTCCAGTTTCCTTATTTTACAAAGGAGGAAACTGGCATCCCAAAGGGTTAACATTCTCACCCGTGGTCATATTAATTCCCTCCCAAGTTTAATCTTTATTGGCTGTATGCCCAGGTGGGAAAAAAAAGTGTTCACTTTGGGAAATGTCTAGAGATATTTTTCTTTCTGTTCTATTATAGAAAAGAAAGGAAATATATAAGCAAATTAGGAAAATTTGCTACATATATATTTGTGAGTATAGAATAGATTTGTTTATAGATATAAAATTTTGTGATAGATGAAAATATACACTTTGTACTTTCTCATTTTTGTCTATAATCTTTAAAAGATATTTCTTTTAAGCATTCTCCCTACCAGGACTTATAGGATGTTCAGCACAGTGAAATGAATTTCATTTACTGATATCAGCAGGCCAGGCTTATTTTTTTAGATGAATAAAATGAGAGAAGTAGTGTTATATCAAACACAGTACAATAATTTATTCCAATTATAATGGAAGTAGAAAGTTCTTGACATTCAAGACAGTGCCTGGTGCTGGGTCCACAGCCTCATTGTTCCCAGGAGACTAGAGTTCAAGGTACTGAATTTTATTAAAGTAAGTTTGGGTATGAATCCATCAACCAACCTGTATTATACTCTTGTCTTTCTGGCAATGATTAACCCTAGTGTTTAATGCATGCTCTAAAATATGTTCTTCAAACTCTCTTACCCAACAGAACTTCCTTTTTGGTACTGAGTCAGCTCTCTGAGTGTTTGTAACCCAGGGAATTGCTTCTCCAGTGTTGGAGATATGGAGGCAGCTGCCAGGGTAAACAGTCACTTCCTAATGTAGCTGCTTAGAAATGCTGGAGGAGAAAATGTAAGAAAAGAAATCTCTTCCTTGTCTTGTAAACAATCAACTTTGCTTTACAGCAGTGCACCAGCACTCTGAATCATTCATCAACTTGAGAAACTACAGTTAGATTTCACCGTTAGGTCTACATGAGAATCACGTCAATCCTTTCTTCTGCTAACACGCTAGATTGCTTTGAAGATGAGCAGTTGACAGAGGGCCTAAGTCCAGCCTTGCGAGTGAGATTTTGATCAGACTGGAATTTAACTTCAAGGCCATCTTGGCTTTCTGTCTTGAGTGGAGCCAGAGGAAATGCTCCTCTAGTTTGACACATGACAATTTAGGTACCATTTTCTTTGATTGTCTTAATTTCCAGATGCTATTACAAATTAATGAGACAAAAAAACTAAGATTGGAACCAAGTCAGAGTCACATAATTGTGGCTTGCAAGGATGCTCTGGAGCTCATACATTTCTGCTGGAATTGTTCTGTTCTTCTCACCAGGAGCAGTGGTGCTCTTGCCCTTGTATATATGTATTTTCTGTGCCCAAAACAATGTGAAGCTCTAATGTTCAGCCAGAATTCATATTTAGAGAAAGCTTTCAGAGGTGATTCTAACTGATCACACTGAACAACCTTCCTATAATTTTAAATAGTGTTAAGGGAGATTTCTGATTATAATAGTTGGTGGTATCCTTTTTTTAGTTTTCTGGACATTGATATTTTTAACTGGTTAGTATCTGTTAAAAATGCAAAATGTCCTCACAGAGTATATTGAATAGCAAATCTCCTTCCTTCTCTTCTTTTCCAGCTATCTAATTCCTTTCCCTGCTACTGGTTTCTTAAATACATTTCTAAGAGTATGTTACATGTTAAAAAAATATATATCAAGGTGATATTTAGGTCTCTAATCTTTTACTTTTGCAAACAAAGATGAATTTCTGCCTGTGGGAATATGTTTATGGGATAAGTACTCAGGAGTTGATTGGTGGTTCCAACAATACGTATACTTTAAATTTTAGTGATTATTGTTAAATTGCCTTCCAAGAGATTGTGCTAATTTATATTCCTACCAACAATGCAAAAATGTGGCAGTTTCTCTAAATGCTTGGTAACATAATATTCTTAAATATTTTGATCATTGCCAATCTTAATGTTTAATGATGGCCTCTCATTGTAGTTTTAACTCTCTCTCCTCCCCTCCCCCCTCTCTATATAATGAATGGTATGGTGCCTCTTCATACATCTAAATCATTTGTTTTTCCTTTTCTATGAACTGTTACTATCCTTTGCCTTTTACAATTTTTCTTCTTATTGATTTAGAAGAGTTCTTTATTCACAGAGGAAATTAGCCCTTGGACTGTGATATAAACCACAATTTATTTTGATCTCTCCTGTGTTGTTTTGAGATACCATATAAAGAAACTCAGTTTTTACTTAGTCAAATCCATCAATCTTAGCACTTACAGCTTCTGGGTTTTCTGGAAAAATTTAGAAAAATTTTCTCTACTTCTCTGAGATTATTGAAAAATTCTCATTTTTTTCTTGATACTTTTATGGCTTCTTTTTTCTGTTTTTTAATCTTAATCTAACTGGAAATTTTTGTCTATGTGGCATGAGTCAGGGATCTGAGAGCTTCCTTCCTCACCTCTAATGTTTTACCCACTCCCGGGCTAGTCAGGGTGTGGTTGCAGAGTAGAAGATGCATCTCTGCTTTGTAGAGCTACACTGGAACATGGTGCGCATAAGGGAGATGCATTTCATTGCCGTGGTCTGCAGTAAAGGCACTGGAAAACTAGTAAGAACCCTATAGGAAGGGAGGAATATCGACTCATTGGTAGAGAGCAGTGGCATGAAGGAGATGGTATGAAGGAAGCAGTCAAACATTACAGATAAAGAGAAACAGAACTGTTTTTACTACTGGTAATGAAATTCATTTCAATATTTTGTATTCTTATTATATCAGTACCCAGTGATGGAAGACATTTAAAAATTTGATTTAGGATAACTGAGAAGGGATTTTTGAGGGCTTATGTTTGTCTAACTTCCAGTAAATGTAACATTATCTTATGTATCTATAAATGCAAGATTGAGAACTTTCTTTGAATGAAAAAAGGCTCAAAGAAGGCTTTTTGTAAAAGGGTACAACTTTGCTTTAGATTTTATGCACTCGAGGATCTGATAAGTCCCATAAAAATGGCTGTGTTTATTGCTCTTTTCTTTTGCTCTCTGCTGGGTGTTTGTTTCTTTCATCAAGTGTTCACAGGAGGGATGAGGTCAGGTTCTTATTACGAAAGGCCTGATGTGTTAAACAGCTCAATGAAAATAAAAGAGGTTTTCCAGCCATTTCCAGGAACTTTGCTGACGGGTGTCATTAAGAGTTCATGGACTACAGCTTCAACTGGGCCCTTGGTGCTGCCTCATGATCCTGCTTCCTGGGGCCAGCTCCCCCTTCGAGTCTCACCAACTGGAGTTTGCCTCTGCCAGCATTTTGTGTTTCTACTCTTGTCAGCCACTGCGATGGGGGCCAGATTTGGTTTTCTTATTTAGGAGAACTGAGCAGGCTTTTGAGAGTTTGTGTACCTCTGAGTGTAAATAAAGCCTAGTTTATTTTTCTTAATGAAAGTGATTCCATAGCTCTCCTGCTTTCCCTTCACTCACAGTGTATGATTTCATCTGAGTCCCAGAAGAAGAGAGAGCACTGGAGAGAAGCCCTGGTGATGTCCTGCTCCGAAGTCTTCCTGTCCATCCCTCTGTACATTTCTTTCTCCTCCTCCTTCTGGTTAAAGTGGAGTTACATCCCCAGCCCTTTTAAAATTTAATTTTAATTACTTTAAAGTTATAATGCCACATACACCTAGAGTCTATTGTATTGTACAGTGCAGATATAGACTGTGATGACAAGAAAATGTCAAATGAATAAAAGAACAAGATAATTCTCCACTGTGACAAGGGAGCAAAGGTCCTAAATGGGGTGGAATGGTTGAGAGGTTTTTTTGAGAAAAGCTTAGGTCAGACATGGAGAGAAGAGCCCCCGGAGGGTGATGGTTAGGTTGAATTACAAGGAGCTGGGAATTCAGCCACCTTTGTGGAGAGGATCCTGGTGGAGAGAAGGGCGAATACAAATGTGAAGGCTAAGGCAGAAATGAGCTTGATCTGTGGGAGGGAGAGAAGTCCTGTGTGGTTAGGTCATGGCAACAGTTGATAAGACCAAAGGCAGGTAGCTATGATGACAGTGGTAATGACAAGAAAGTATCCGGGCTAAACTAGTCAACTCCTTGCTGAATATTTTCTCTGGAGTGCTTCCGAGGCATTCCAAACTCATAGGACATTGAACACTCAAAGATTGCTCTTCCTCTGTGCTTCCTATGTCAAGTGAAAAGCACTGTCATTTAACCTGGTGTTCATCTTCTCCCCTTCTCATCTGCCTTCCTATGGATGGTCAAATCCTGTCATGGTGTCTTCTAAATATCTCTAGATTATGTCCATTACCTGACATCCTTATGGGAGAGTTCCTCAGTTCATAGACTCAGGTTGTTTTAATGCCTAATCTGTTTTTCACAATACAGTCAGGTTGATCGTTCTAAGACACGAATGTAACAGTGCCACACTTTGGGCTCAAAATTTGTCCACATTCCTGATGACTCTCAGATTAAAGTACATGATCTTTAACAAAATCTTAGAGGCACTCTTCTTACTTTGCTCATACCTGTTTGCAGCAACTTGAGAATGCTTTGCTCTCTATTTTTGGGCATCTGCCAGTAGTGTTTCTTCTATGTAGGGTTTACTTCCCTCCATCCTCCATCCTTCCCACAATATCCTTGGTGCATAGTTTAAGCATCACTTCCTCCAAAAGGGCATCCTGGTGCCCCGGTCCATGTTTGATGTCCCTTCTAGGAGTGCTCCATGTACTCTGAGCGCCTCCCACTCTCTTATTTTGCCACACTGAAATTGATTGTTCATCACTGGACTGCATGAGGGCGGGGATCATCCTCCTGTGTTTTTGTTGCACCCTCAGCACCTAGCACAGTGCCTGGCTGCAAGCAGATGCCTGATCAATATTTTCCAATGAATTAAAAAGAAATAACTTGGATTCAGTTATTACTGACTACTTTTAATGGTGGTTGATTCATATTGAACATAGCATTCATTGAGCATGCTTAGCTTTTTACTCTATCTCCTTTATCCTTACCACAATCTTCTGAAGGTAGGATTATTATCTTCATTTTAGGAATTAAAAACTACAGTCCTAAAGAGTTTAGAATAACTTGCCTAAGGTTACATGACTGTTAAGTGACAAAATCAAGATAACTTGGGCTGCTTAAGTGAAAAACCCATTCTCTTAGTCCCTGTGCCAGACATGATGAGATTTTATGATGCTTTTGTTCTAATAAAGTCTTCACAGAAGATGTGTGAGCAGAGAAGATAATCCTTATGGTCACAGTTGTCCTGAACTGAGCCATTATTTATACACTTGCAAAGTCAGCCTCCATTTGCTGGGCCTGACATGAGCCTCAAGACTCAGCTATTCTCTGCAGTTCAGTTGTGCATATGTCAAAAAACTTTGTTTTTGAGAGTAAGTCTCCCACAGGTGGGCTCCTGTGTACCAGAGGAACATTGACTTATGGTATTTAGGGAGTGAGGGGGGCCAGGAGCCTGGGAACTTGTGTGTTGATCATTCTCTGGCAGAAGGCATGGAGCTTTCTCTTTGTGATTACTAATCCATTTGGGGAGTGGCCTTGTTTTTCACATTTCAGGAACTATTATACTGAACAGTGATCCTGGGATTTCCATTATCATTGTAGTTTTGTGGAAATTCTGATATACTATTGTTTCAGGGACATTTGGGGATCATAGTCCAGTGGTTTGATGTGACTTTAGGGATTTCAATGATGCCATTTTCACCTACCCCTGTCATCTTTATGATGGATTGAACTATTAAAGAGAGTGTCTTCCTCTTTTTAAACTCCAGGCACTTTCCAGAGTGTAGTAAGAGAGTGCAATTTTGGCTCTTTTATAGTAAGAAGGACAATGGAGGCCAGAGAGGTTAATTGGCTCACTTCAGAGTGACATCCCGGTTACAGTAGTGGATGTAACGTGATGGAATTAGATTTCTGGTCAGACTGTTTCATCTTACTGGGGAAGAAATGCACTTTTTTTTAAAGATTCATGGTGCTTTCATGTAAGGTCATTCATTCCTTCAACAACTCTCAGAGAGTGCCCACTTTATGTCATAGCTGAGAATGGAGCAGGGAATAAGGCCAACATGCTATCAGGAACTGGCATTCTGGGCCAGGGATTTAGCTCAGTGGTTCCGCTGCCTGCCTTCCAACCACAAGGACCTGAGTTTGGTCCCCAGTACCAAAAAAAAAAAAAAAAGAACTGGCATTCTAATTGAAGAGGGTGGAACAGAGAAAAGCATGTGAACATACAAATGTTACATACATTTTACGTAGCATTGTTCTATGGATAAAATAACAGTAGAGTAACAGGATAGAGAGTGCCTCGAGTGAATAAAGAAAGGATCATCAAAAGGCTTCTATGAGATAGTATCATAGAAACTAACAGCTAAAGAATGAAGAAAAAAAAAACCAACCTTAAGTAATCTGGGGAATAGCAGTTCAGGGAGAGTGAACAGTAACTGCAAAGGTCCTGTGGCTTAATGAGTCTAGCATGTCCAAGGAGGAGGAATCCCAAGTCATATGGACCATGGTTCAGAGGAATGCCTTACAGAGTTTTAAGCAGAGAAGTGATGGGGATCTCATCTCTGTTATAACAAGATCTCTTTGCTGGCTGTGCAGAGATGTGCTGAGGGAAGCAAAGGATGCAACAGGGAGTGATTAATACAATGGTTCAACCATGTGTCAGACACTAAACTTTTCATACATGATCTTATTTAATACTCACAAAATCCTACATTGTAATTACTATGTTCATTTTTCAGATATTGAAAGTAGAAAGCCCAGAAGCTTAAGTATCCAGATCTCATCCAAGCCACTCAATCTTTGTGGCAGACCAGGATTTAATATGCAAGCCAGTACTGTCAGACACTCTTACCTAATTTTCTGCTGGGACCTTCCTCATGGACGTCCCCTGACAGTTTCAAACATTTATATCCTGAACTAAACTCACTCTGTCCTCCTCCATGCCAGCTGTACCTCCTGGTTTCTAAATATTAATGTCATCACTCAGATGAATAATCTAGGGCTAGAAAGTGTAGCATCTTCTTATATCTGTCTGTACACTGTGCTTTCTCCTCACTAATATTCATCAAGTCTGTTGCATAGTTTTGTCTATTTAAACTCTGTTATTGATCCCATTTCCATTCCTTGTCATCATTGCCTTGGCTCAGGTTAGTTCAACTATTCCGAAAGCCCTCTGTTAGCACCCCAGTCTTTACCCTCCATGGTCTGTATCAACCCTACCGCTAGGTTTAGTTCTCATCCTAAACTGGAGCTACAGTATCTCTTCCTTAAGGTCATTCCCAGATTGAAGTTCTCTCTCTTTAGTGTGATAATCAATTCACCAGTGTTGGGCGCTTCAGTTTTTCCTCAGAAGATTGTTTATTATTGTAGCACTGCATTTATTTGTTTTTGTAGTTGATAACTCTCACCAAGTATAACCAGTCATGTGAAGAGGAAGGTTAGGAATACACAGTCCAGTGATTCCTGATTGAACTCTTTAGAAGTCCAGCATGAAATGTGCTCACCAGTGGATGATACACAGCGTTTAAGGGCCAATACAGTGTTTCCATAGCCTCCTAGTAGAGCATGTTGACCCAGCAGCTCTGGGAAGCCACTCAGTTGGAGACATTTTTGTTGGATCGAGTTTCGTGAAAGGTGTGCAAAGAGAAGCCTGAGCTCAAAGGCTGATAAAGTCAAAGTTAGCCATGGGCTCTCTTAACCGTTTAGTGGCATTCTAGAAGGGAAAGGCAATCAATTTTTATGGATAGGAATTATACGGTGGTGCCGCAGCCTGCCTAACAAGCTCAAGGTCCTGAGTTCGATCCTTGATACCAAAAAAAAAAAAAGTAAATGGAAATTTTTGGACAGGAAGAAATGGCCTTTCAGTATGACACATATTCCAACCCTATAATCAGTGTTCTTTACCAGCAATAGGCCCATGTGGGGTGAAACACTGATTAATCAGAGGGCCAAGAAACAGGGGAACTGTATGGTTATTTTCTGAGGTGAATTTGCAGATCTGAAATTTAGTAATTCAAATCTGGCTCTTCGAATCCAACCAAGACTCTGTCTTTTAGTGCTCTTACTCACAGGCAAATACATAGTGAAGTGTTTTCTGACTGAGGATTCCTCAAATGTATTGTGATTTCCCAGAGAGGTTCTCTAGCCTATTGGATAATAAAAAAAAGATTTAATAAAAATTATTTTGCTCTATCATTTCTCATGGAAGAAATTTAAAAATTTCAGGCTGTTATCAGTGATGCCAAAAAAAGATAAATGAAATTCATTTCTGCCAATTTTAAGAACTATAGTGAAAGTTGCTCCCTGTTTTATTTTATAGAATAAGTAATAGTTTTAAAAGACAGGGTAGGAAAGTTTCATATTTTCCATCTTCAGTTCCATAA